TAGAAAATTCCGATAGTTTTTACCTCTTAAGTAGACTTTTATTTGCTTACTTGGTTCATAATTAACCACGTAAGCGTATTTCCTATCTCCACGAGGGAATTTCCGAAACGTGCGAGTTTGATTATGCCAATTATATTTAATTGTACAAAACAGTGAAGCGCGAGGCCTCTCCGTGCTGCCTCATCATACATTATTAACTTTAACGATCACAGAATTCCACACTCCACGAACTATGTTTCATTGTATTCGGAAAAAACAACGGTATTTTATCTGTACTTAATAATAGCAATTGTCATTGATCGCCGCTGAAAAGCGTAGGTAAGCGGCTTAGGCGAACAGACATTGTCTTCTTCGTTCAGTTCAATTTAACCATAACTTAAAAGTTAATACGTAGAATCGCATTATACTATCGTATCGTATTATAATCGTATTGATAATAGTTGAGCTTATGAATATGCCTTTCGGAACTAATCAGCTTGATTAAAACATAATTTTCTAGTAGCTAGATATTCGGTATTCATTTATTTATTATTCTTAATATAGTACATTTCATATAAAAAATAAAAAAAATATACAACTGTAGCTAGATATTATTATGACATGATTAAACTATGTAAGTGAACTTTGAATATTATACTTGAATTTAGAAACGAAAATATTTCAACCAGGAACCACATAAACAATTTTGTAACTATATTTCATAGTGTTTCGATTTCAGTACAATAATTGGATTAACTATTTGATATTATACAACAATATTAGTTAGCATTAGAAATTCTTAAGTAAGATAAACAATCTCTAAGTTAACTTTGCTCGTTTAGCTTGTAATCATTGGCTGTGATTGCGACCTGCTACTGTCCTCGTTTAATTTGAATAAATAGCTCTGGTGTTGAATTACCAGTTGATCTGTATTGTACTTTAGCACTGGTTACTAAGTAGCATGCAGGGTTCATAGCACCTAAGAGAACGTAGGTGGATAAACCATTTTAACCCTTTATTCGATGGTGTCCAGTGCGACGAAGAACTAATTAAAAAAAAATAATGTACTGAAGTAGTTAAGAGAAAATTACGTATGACTTTACTAAAAAAAAAACAGTTTTTTGCTACAAATAATTCCGTCGAATTAAGGGTTAAGTTACTGATAAATGCAAATTATAAGCAATTATTTCAAGAACTTTATTGCTTGTTCGATAAATTAATATGCAATCATGTGTGTTGATTCATAATGTATAAATTATATTATGTACAATGTACATAAATAGAATTAATTCGTTAAATACTACTCGTGGACGATGTTATGCAACTGAATGAAGTAATTAATAAAAAACTAAATTAATTATTTACGTAAAAAAATTTAACTTCATGGTAAACAACTAAAGAGAGCAACAGAAAACATGACGTCATTTTATATATATACATTTAATTTAATTACTATCTCATAAACAGACAAACTTGTACACATACACATTTTATTATACTTTATCAATATATTACATATATAATTATGAATTCTAATATCCTTAGTTACAATTGGCATCAAAGGTGACCGGGTGGACCGATTTCACTAATTCTTTTTTTGTTATGTTTGTAATTGTAGGGAGAACGTTCTTATGAAAGAAAAAATTAGAAAATAAAATTAAATCTCGATTAATTTTATCATAGAGATAGAACATAATCCAGAAGACTACTTATAGTTTGTTTTTTTTAATTACGGTCTTAGTTAAAAATGACGTCAAATCTTTATTCAATTGTAGATTTAAATAATGCATAATATATATATAGAAAATATCTATTATTCCCTGTTTTATTTTTATAAAATACCTTATTATATCATTTAAAAATCAATTCCGTATTGTAGCGTCGATAGTATTATATTTATTGAACACAATAGTTTACTCCGACTTGTTTACGTTCAATGAATCTTATTCTTCATAATGATGTGTTAGAGTCATTGCCTAGAAGAGTCCCCAGTCACCAGAGTCCCGCGGCGCGTGACGTGTGAACATATTAATTGGAGAGAATCGGTCGCTAGGGGAACAACCCTACGGTAAACCGAAATAGGATTATTGGAAATAACTACGCTTCGTATGAGCTAATGGCACGCGTTCAATTAAACCAGAAATAATAACAGAGACGAGACGCGTCTCAATTTTTTGCGGTAACGAATTCGCTTTGAATGTTACTTTTGTGCAATTAAGCTATTAAGTTTTGTTACTTAATTACTTAAGTTATCTATTGAATACAATATATGGTATGTTAATGTAAAACTTACGAAATTATTATTATAAAATACCATGATATTAAGTAAATGTAAAAGCAGCTTTAAAGCTTATAAAAGGATGTTTCAAGCGATTTTTCTTAAAGCTAACAGAATTTTAATTTCAACAACTTCCAAGTGATTCATATACAAATAAATGCACCACGAGTGTGAAGGAAATTTAATTTAATGAATGTAATACATTTGAAAGTTCAAATATTTCGTATAAATTAAAAAAAAAATCGAATAACACAATAAGGTGTCATAGTTTGTGTTTTAAATTTATCACACGCTGTCAATGGTCGCAAGTGTATCTAGTATATGGGTGCTATTTTTTACAGCTATAACTTTTTATAACATCTAAAACGGTATAAAAATGTTACGTATAAACAGATTTTTTACGAGTGCGTGTCAGTGTATGAGAAATGTCTTTATTTGTGGGCAAATGTCCACAACGCTACGCCCACGTGGCATTCGTACGTGTTGGTAAACATTGTGTGAAATAGAAAAGTCAACACACGTTCATATATAGACGCACAGATTATGCAATAACATGAATTTTAAAATGGCGTTTAATTTTGACACAAAAGATGATGACCATTTCGTTGGCACTATACACCTCTTACATACAAAAATTCTAATAATAACTTTTTTGACCTTAAAACTGACTATACAAATGAAATACTCGTATGAACTTGGAACTAAGAAAAATTGACTCTATATTGAACCTTTAGAAGGAAAGTTAGATCTATCGACAAGTTCAATCCTTTTTTTTGTTATCCACTAATAAATAATTGTATTCGTATACCAGATAGAATCTGCTGAATAACTGTTAGCAAAAATCAATATTCGATTTCATTTATCAATGTTATCAATTTCATATCACGATATACCACGCCCTGCTTATCTGACACTTCATATGAGATTATTTACTCAAACATTTACAACAGTATACTTGGACATCAAAGTCATGTAAATATAGAATGTAAATATTCAAAAAATCTAGAATTTTCTCAACATTTCGACTTCTACCTTTCAGAATTTTCTTAGATCCTCTCTTTGCTGTTATCTACTCGTGAATTATTTGTCTGAAAGTCTGACAGTTTCATCGTACGAGCTATTTTCTATTTGACTCTATTTAAGTAACAATCCAAATAACTATACATATTTATGAGTTTAAAATGGTTGTTGGAGACAATAAATAAGGCAATTATTGTTTCACGAAATACATAAGAACATGGTAATTACTATTAAAAAAATCATTTCGTGATATATTTCGTCTCTATTAAGATGTCTATTTTTACACATTATAGAGTATGGAATATAATACTTTACGTTGGACATAGTCCAAGTTTAATACTAGTATTTTCCTTTGCAAAATTACGATTGTAAATGTCACGTATGACTCATTGTAAATCTCTAGGAAATATTGCTCAGAACTGTTTGATAACGTTTCAAGTTGCAATAAAAATATAACAGTGATTGTAAATAATAACGCATTCTTTAAATAAATGTAATTTTTATTCTACTTTAATCAGTCTTTTACCATAATTTTGTAGATGACAAACATCGGTTTGTAACCTTTATCCTAGACACTGCCTTTCAGGTTCCTGTTTGGATTTTTTTGAATGCAACTAAAATAATTAGTAGTAATACTTAAAAATTGTAAAAGCTATTGTAAACAAAAGAGGTAGAGCGTCTTTGTTTTTTTGTAGCAGTCGGCAATTGTTTGCATCACTGAAGTATCCACTTTTAAGGTAGCTGGAAGTCAAGTGCGCTTAACTTGAACCTCTTTAAGGGTAACTTTGTTAGGCTCCCTTGTATTTACTGTCGGACTTATCTTTAGATGGCTTAAATTGTAATTCCGAAACTTTTTAATATAGGCAGGTATTTATAGATGAAACTTTACATTTTATAAGTTAATTTTATGGTAATTCTACCTCTAATAAAAAATAATAAGAAGTTTATCTTTGCTTGCTCAAGATATTCGATATAGGTCAAACGTTGTAACAGCACAGCCGCAGTCAGCAATGCACAACCCAAATAAACTAAATGCACTTGGCACATTTCAAAAGGTTTCATAAACCGACCTGATTTCCAAATAAAAATCAATATACTTACGTCTACTTTTACACTAAATACTCCATTAGTATCTGAGTATAGATATTACATTTTTGTATATAAAAATCATAAATTTAAGGAGTGATTACTTTGTACCTAACTCTGATAAGATTGTTGTCTACATCCTGTTTGAGACGCTAAACTCTAACTGGCCGGTAGACGGCTTATATTAATCGCACCAGTTCTTGACAGATAAGAAACTCGAAATGTTGCTAACCTCAACACAAGCTAAACAGTTACATTCAAACTAAGCTAATAGAAGCGCGGTTGCCGGCGCAGGCGCAGCGTAAACACTCGCAAGAGGTCATGTGTTAATGTGAACAATACCGACACTCATCAGTACACGCCGGTTAACAATAAGTTACAATGTATTGTCACTAATACTGTATTTCAATTTGTCCTTTAGTTATTTATGTAATAAAAAATACTTAACAGATAGCTTCGTATCTTTCGATAGTAATAGTCTACTTAATTATTGATAAAAGTATTTTCATTATAAATTCAAAGAAACGTATCAGCGCACGATATCAAACACATGGCAGTACCGGTGACCTTCACACGAATGATGTCAGGCAACTTATGTTTTTAAGAATGAATATTTGTAGACAAACTTATAACTTACCAGCTTGTTTTATCTCCACTCGTACTGTTGATTGTAAGATGTTCGGCGACGGAAAATCCAAAATAAGAACCTTTCTCGCCGTACTTTATCACTGGAATCCTCGGCTCCAGGTTGAAACTGAAGGCACTATGTAAAATACACAAATATAAAACACACCAACATTCCTTCGAAGCCATCGTAATGTTCGTTATCGTGTTATAAATCGCGTGGTTAAATTAAATCACTGTCCACCAGTTATATTTTTGTACATCGCGATTTTCGTAAAGTATAAAATAATGTGGAACGCAAAGTGATGAGACCCCCAGCGCGGTTGCCGCTCGCCGGCTGAGTATTGGCGCTAAAGTTTCGTCGCGTTTCTGTTGACTCTACATTCAGATACGTGTTTGCTCTACGCACATCCGAGCGCGCGCTCTCGGTAGAGGCGAGTGAACTCATAAAACATGCGATACTAGGAAAATCAACGCCATCTAGTGACGAAAAGCGTTACTCCCAAGTATTTTTTTTTATTGACACTGAAGATTTGTGTAATTATTTTATGAATTTAAAAATGAATGAAAACATGTAAATCGTATATTACATCATAGAGCCAAAATTGCGTTTCACAATGATTTCCGATTAGATAGATACGGTAATATTTCGAACGCATAGAGCACCCTCTACAATAATTACAATATACTTCGTCATCCAATCGAAAGAAAACGTTTGTAGACTTTGAATAAAGCCCGATAGATGGATTCAATTTGATATTCGTTAATATGTTCAAACACAAGGCTTTTCTAGACCAAATAACATTTTTTCCAACGAACAATTGCCTACATAATTGCACTACAAGATATCTTAACTACAATTTTAAAACTCCTACAGTAAAAATTGCAAGATGATAATTATTTCCCCATGCACTTGTCTATAATACGCCTGCTCTCGAATTTCAATATTTTTGGCTTCCTTTCAAATAATTGCTATTAATATCCTAAATATAATCTTGCGCAAATACATTTTTCTAGATTTTTCTAATACATAGAAATCTAGACTAGCAAACTTTTGTGTTTCAGCGATATATGCATTGACTATATTAACCCTCATTCTGTCATTTTGTAGGTTTTTATGTATTGATGCTGGTAAACAATATCATTGATTTTGAACAAGTTTGAACATTCATATAATGTATTTTACAGCTATGTAAATTATAATAAATTGGTTTCTAAATTTTCTATAATTCTTAGTATATAAGAATAGAGTCTGGTAAAGACTTAATCACCACCAACTTAAGGTATATGCTCATGGTGTTTGTTTTGAATATGATAACATTGTTATGTCTCGTTGTTATTAGTAATAAGACAGTTTACGTTTCTTTGCGTAAACAGAGCACTAAGAAACATCGCTACATACTACTAGAAAACTTTTTTTCAAATTTAGTTTCTAGAAAAATTGGTAGACATAATGTCTATTGTGATTTTACCCATTTCAATATAAGGATTTATAACACATAAATAAAAGTAAATGCATATATATTTAAATCCATTTTATTGAAAAGAAAACATATTTGATAGTAAATATAACCAGTGTTATATGCAAGTATACATGAAGTGTGAAATTGATTGAATGTTGACGTGTCTATTGCTTATAGTCACTAGTCTTTTCTACTCTCTCCGTAATAACAAAATTGTAATTAAAAATAATAAATGAAAATAATTTATCCCATCCTTTTTAAGTATGTTGAGACACATGTTAAAATATTGTTAACAAAAGATATAAAGAATGAATTAATTTGTAGTAACCAGAGATGTTAAACGGCAATCATTGCCAGCGAAAGCCTAATACCGAACATGACAAGAGCGTCTTGATATTTAGCTCATTTAGCTTCGCTTTCGCTGCGACAACGAATCTACAACCGAATTGCCAACAGCAAAAGGCAATGAATGCCCTCTTTTCGGTTGCAAACTCGTGACCAAACCAGTTTGAATTGACGAAACCTAAGTCGCGCCAGGTGGGTTGTGTTGATATAACAATACAGTTAGAGTAGCGCAAGTTGCACTTTCTCATGTATTGCAATACCATTCGGTTCTGTTGGCTGCTTAAGGGATGGGGTGGAAAGTGAGCTCTGTCTGTGAGTGTGCGAACAGCAAGTTCAGTTGGGAATCCAAACCAACGTTGAACACCTTGATCAACTTGGCTGTCTGCTGTCCCGGGTCTTTACGTACGAGAGCCGTTCCCGACACCTTCATTAGATGCACCTCGGAGTCCACCGATCCTCCTCCAGTGGTGGCCAGTTTCACGTGGCATGTCACGTCCACTTGAATATATTTTTCAACCGCCTTCCCGCGCTTACCCGGCACGTCCACATATTCAGTCATCTTTTCAATTTGTGGCAGATCAGCCCGGAATACAATCGCTTCGCCAAGAAGACCCTGGAAGAAAATTTAAAAAGTATAGCTAATGAAACTGCGATTCGTTTACTTTTATTTGGCCGCGTACCAAATTCATTATTTATACGACGATGTAGCATCGATCGTTAGTAAACAACTAAAGATTTAGACTATGCACCAGTCTGCTAAAAGATCTATTATAGAATTGGCAGTCTTCCAACTTTATGTAATGGTGAAGATAATTTTGTTTGTTGAAAATTATGTAAATTATACACGCTTACCCCGTTTCCTGTGATGGAGAACTTCATGTCAGGATGGACTGCACGAGGCTCCATGCCGATACCCTCGGGATGAGAGTCGGACCAGAAGTAATTCTCAGGTGCGTTAAGAGTATCGGGTTTGAAGGTGATACGCTTGCCATATCCCATGCCAACGGACTGCAACATTAAGCTTCGGCCTTCAAAGAGATGGCGACGGCTGTTGGCGGGACGCACGCGGTACGAGAATCCAGGAATAATGCGTGGATCAACATATGTACCTAAAATAAATGTAAAAATTTAGATATTGCAGCCTATAAATGGACTGCTAAGTAAATAGAACAGTATCTAATTTCTAAACAACGTACCAATAACTGGAAGTTCATATCTTTCCAATCCCACCATACTGTATTGACAGGGAATATCTTTGATGTCAGCTCCATTGACTTTAACTCTTCTGGATGAAGATTGAACGCCGGGCTTCAGTTCGTAACCTTTCTTCAATTGTTTGATGCCAATGGCGACATTGATGACTCTAACAACACTGGCGTTACCGCGGCCTTTCTTGAGCAGAGCAACTCCAGTGACAGGTACTAATTTAGTAGCACCATCGTTTTCGTACCATTCCACTTTGCAAAGTGTGTTGATTTTCACTTTCTTCTCAATCGTACCATCTGCACCTATCAGCTGGTTAATTTCTATTTGATTCTTCTGTAATTTATACAACAGTATATTAGTTACACTTTATTTAATAAAATTAAGTTATTTTGTATGTAATTCACTAATTATTTGGTCCTACATTACCTGCTGTTGAACAACTTCGAGAATGCCTTGGGGTTCATGGTTAGCGTCATAAATAGTAAACTTGTCACCGACGGAAACGGCTTCGATCTCAAACAGGAATCCCTCGGGTCTGGAGTCCGACCAGAAGTAGTTGTTGTTTTCATTAAGAGTGGAATCAATCGGCTCAAATGTCAGCCGGCGTGCAAAGCCGCGACCAATCGATTGCAGCGTCAGAGCCTTGCCGTCAAACAAGTACCTCGGCTTCACTGATAGAGGTGGTGCGTCCAAAGCCTGAAATATTACACAACAATATTCATATTCCATTCAGAAGAAAAGACAAAAATACTCATCTCATACAAATTAAAATTTAAAATTGACTTTATAAAAAAGAAAATTCATTTTTCGGTCACCATTTTAGAAAGATTTTACTGTAACAATTACTAAGTAAAGGTCAAAAACTTTAGTTATTTTTCCATTTTCCACATGCAAATGTTCTAGGGAGTTATGACACCAGTGTGTTGCTTACAATTGTGCTTTTGTCAGTGGAACTTTATTACAAATGGTAAATGTATGAAAAAATAACCACACAAGGACTCAAAGAAGTTTTTTTTTTAACATGGATAAAATTGACATGTAAAAATGGCATGGTGCCCTTATGAATGATACTTATGGTTTACCTATTATAGACATAACATGCTGGCGGCCAGTATGTCACATTCGACCTGTCGGGCCTCCGCGAGGTTTCTCGAAGGACAATCATTGTGTATGTGAACGCCGCACTGGGCGTGGTTCTGAAAAACTGGACGATCCACATACCATCGCCTACAACGGCAAGTGCAAACAACCAGTGGCGAAAGAGCCGCAAGTCAACAGTGTTGGTCGTTGATGATATTTTCCATTCTGTAAACGTCAGCAACGGACACTGCTACTTACTAACTCCCTAACAATGACCGAATTGCACTGGACATGCTGAAATCGACTAGCCAACTAGCTAAACTGAATTTGGACCATAAAAAATTTAGTGAAATATAAAAATATTCAAAGGAAAGATATAGCAGCATCTTTTAGCACTTATTGGTAAGGTTGCCATTACATTTTTTTTTAATTGCAATATCAAATTTCAATTTACAATATGAATTTGCAAAAGCTTATCGACAGCGTTTGTACATATTATGGCGTCTATAAACAAAACAGTAAAATTATAAGGTAATTTTACAATAGTCACGATTCAATAAATTATATTATATTTACCATGACAACCTTACTTGAAATATCAAATACTGATAAAAATTTTGAAAAAAAGGTAAACCAAATAGGAAAGTTGTAACAGTGGTAAAAAAAGATTACCGCAAAAGTACTACTAATATTATTATTAATGAAATGAAAACTATAGAAATATAAATATTTTGAACATTTTTGTATGATCATTTTGGAAACAAACTCACCATCCTCTTGGTAGCTGAAAAGAAGGATCAAACAAAAATGTTCTATACCAAAAAATTACATACCACCGTTACTATGAAAATAAAATTTATCGTTTCAAATATATTAAAATGAGACACGATTGTATGCTAAAAGATTGCCGACATTCTTAAAGTCCAAAATCAATTGATTTCATTGAGAGCGTAGTCGTTTCTTTCGCAGTCCGTTTGGTAAATTTTGCCCCCGATCGATATGGATCTTCGTAGTTTTTCTTTCATTTCTCGGAACGAGTAACAAACATGGTACAAAAGCTTCAACTTATCGCATATCAACTGATCGATGAACAAAGCCACAATTAACATTCCTGAAGAATTGTCGCTGTCAGTCATATAACCAACAAATACTCAAGAATTTCAAAACAAAGTCAACGAAATGTGGAAGATTGCGTATACTAAGTTAAATATCAACTTGCAATCATCAACACTTCTACTGTAAAATGCGACAATTCTTCAAATTGTAATGCGTAATGATCAGTGTAATTTTTATTTTAATTATAAATATATATTCTTCTCACCTGCATTG